AACACGCATTTTTAAAGACTTTATATTATAAAATATTATATTAAATATAAAAAACAGTTATTGGTTATCCTCTTTCTCCTTGGTAATTATCCTATTCTGTTTAACCAAAGTTAGTGGGGTCTTAATAAGAATATAAAAATACAGCTTGTACGGCAAAAATTAGATTTGAATTCCTTTTTATTTTTTTGAGATACTGATATTACAAAATATTATTATTATTCGAGATCTTGACAAGTGTCGTGTTGGACAAGTTTTTCAGTTAATAAATTTGCATAACTAAACTTTTAGGGACATGCTAACTTCGACTCCGAACTAGTGGCTAAATGTCCTGGCCGAGCAAGCGACTTTTGGCCTGTCTTGATGTCTGCAAAGCTTCGTCTGCCTTTTTGGTGGGCAGGGGGTAAAAGGGGTGTGGCAAGAGCGGGTGCTCGAGAGGGTGTTGCACAAAGCCAACAAATTATGCACTTACACACACAGATACACACACACACACACACACACATACAGTCGGGGCAGACAACTGCGTCGCTATTTGAGTTATGTACGAGTATGTGCAAAGGAGAAGGCACATGGCACAACCAAAGCCACCCCCGCCCCCGCCCCCGTCCACCGTTCAGACCCCCGTTTGCAACGCCCCTGCACCACTTGAGCTGTACGTTTTTTTCTCGTCCTTTGAGGACTCGGCACTTGCAACTTGCGACTCTGTGCCAGGTCTGTCCTTTCGGCCCGGCTGACATCTTCTTACTCCATTTGGGCGCGCTGTCGTGTTAATTTAGCGCGAAATATTTGACAAGATGACGCGATGCCACAGCCCCTGCGCCCATTTGCACCCCTGACTGCTGCACACGGACAAAAACTAACTAGCTTTTAACATTTATATATACTTTACAATGTTTCTTTTCCTTCTAGGTACAGAAAAATTCAAGATTTTGTGTTTACCAAAGACAATTGATGTTAAAGCAATTATCACTATTGGTAAGTTAATATAAAGTAATATTTCTGGAAAAATGCTATATCCAGAGCATTGCCTCTATCTATCCAATAAAATAATATTTGGTTTTACAACATGAAATAATTTTGGATGCAGTCCCAAAACTAAATATATAGATATAATACAATACAAAAAAAATAGAAACGTTAAATGCTTCTTCTTTTGAATTTATCAACATGATTATGATATGTTGTGTAAATGAATGGTTAATTTTTGACAGTGTATACCAGGAAAGCCTCTGTTCTCGGCGGGAGTAACGATCGAACTTCAGACTCCATCTCCATCTCCAACTTCCTGTCTCTGTCTCAGTCGCTGTCTGTGCAACAGACACTCATATCGATTTATAAGATGCCACACACTCCTGACATTCGATAGTGACTCCGCTGTCGTGTCCTGATGTCCTGATGTCGTGATGTCCTGTTGTCCCAATGTCCTGACGTCATCTGTCCCCAAAAGTCCTAGAGTTGCTGTGATTGAGCTGCGCGGTCGCTTTAAGTGATTTGCTCTCCAGCTAATTCGCAGACAATCCAACCTAAAAGCCGCAAGTGACTTCTGACGGATTGAATGAGGTATCCTCAAGATACTTAACTTGAAACTAAGTTAACGAGATGGGAGATCAGGATCGAAAGGAGACCAAGAAATCAGCCAATTAACAACATGTTTTTTCCTTATTCTATTTTCAGAAGGCAATTCGTGTTGATGCCATAGAGCCTTGTAAATAAATAGAACTCTAACAGAGGCAATCACAGGAAATTGAATTATTTTCAATGGGTTAAGCTTCGCAAACAATCAAACCCCATACGAAAAGTTTTTAAATTATGCCTTTTATTCAATTATCTATAGCGTGGCCACAACAATTGGGTAACTTATCGGATGAACTGCAGCAAGGCGAGAAAACAGCGAAAAACATTCGCACACTACTCACAGCCTAAATCAGCCGCATAATCAAGGCTATCATCATCATCATCATCATCATCATGCACTATTATTATCAGGATGGCTCCTTGTCGCATCGATGGGGATCGAAGGTTGTCGCTTACTGGGGGCCAAAGGGCAAAGTAGGGAGCCACCGACAGACAGAGTCATTTATAAAATTTCCACCAGAACGTGTTAAATGGCGTCAATATTAAAAGTTCAAATATGACGCTGACGCTGACGATAACGATGACGACGCCCAGAAAATGGGCAAGGGGAACTGGTTTTTGGGGTGAAGAACGGGCGAAAATCGGTGGATCGGAGGAGGCAGACACACATAGACGGCAAACGAATCAACAAACGTTGGAGCTATTATCGTTGTCGCAACATCGCACAGATACAGATACAAAAACGGCATAGCACACATTTGCAATCCCGCTTACACACATTCAGTGGCGTTCGCAGGACATTATTAGGGGGTTTGTATAATTTAAGGGATTTGAGCAGCCGCTTCGATATAAATGAATGTTGGAAATGTTTCATATAAGATTTGAATTATATTACTTCAAATATTTCAAATATTGTTTGAATTAAATTAAATTACTAATTAAAATTGTTATATTAGGTATATTTATGAGGAGCATAGACAGAAATAATCGTAGTTTAGGAATCGGTTGTTTTCAAACTTGATCAATTTATTTATTAAATTGATTGTGATCACTAAATTCGTTCTAAATTGCTGTGTAATGTAATTGTTTGTATGCTTTTTATTTCGCATTATAATTACGATAAAAGAAAAACTATCAAATTAGATAATATGAAGTCCCCTTCTGGAAATGCCACTGCATACACATATGGTCCTTGTTGCTATTGCTTTTGCTTTTGCTTTTGCTGCTGCTGCTGCTGCTGCTGCTCATCATCATCTTTTGGCGTTAGCAAGTGCTTGGCGGCAACTTCTAATGGCGGCATTATGCGACCCCCTCGGTTCCCCCAACTGCTCACCCTTTGCCCCCTCGGGCTGCCCCCTCCCCCTTCCCCTTCCCCAGGATGTGTGTGTGCGCCCTGCGCAAAATGAAAATGAAACTGTTGCAAAATCCCATAAAACGGCCAAAAAGCTTTTGTAAATGACGCCAACAGCTGTCGATGGAAAAGCAGACAACGTCGCCGTCCGCCCAATTTGCCAAAGCACCCACCCACTTTGGCACCCAACCTTCAACCCCCTAACAGCTCCCCAAGCACCCCCTTCGTTGTGCCACCACTGACATCTATGTGTGTGTACACTGCGACCAAAAATGTGCAGAACAGAAGCAAACAGTTTGAAAAGGTCTATAACCTACTACCTTATAATGTTTATTCATGAGTAAGCAATGAGTTTCATAAAGCAAAGCGTGATATTCTATAAATTTATGATTGGAGTTCAAATATTAATATTTATAAACCTTGAAGCAGCTAATGAGATGTTATAATAAATGTCATTCATTATATTATTCTTATTTCATGGACAACTTTACTCACAAAGAAATATATAAACAAGTTATTTAAAGCGAGGAAAAATTGGTAAACCAGTTGAGAATATTAAGATTTCAATCTGATACGATTTAGTCCCACATTCTGTTAAGAATCCCCTAATAGTTTCCCCTTTTTTTCACACTGTAGCTGTATTTGAAGGGGAGATGGCGCTGCAAGTGGGATATCGTGAAGGTTTTGGCGCGTTTTAATAAAGCGACAATGACATTTTATGAATTTTCCACTTTGTTCTCGGCCCACGCCCACAATCGCGTCCCGCTTCGCTCCGCTCCGCCCCCGCCTCCGCTTAGCCCCGCCCCCTTTGTGCTGTTTTCATTATTTGTTTGTTTGCCGAGAACCACAGACTGGCGGCCGGTAGGACTCCAGGACTCCAAGACCACGACTTCCAGAACTCCAAATGAATTGACATTGTCTGTGTGTTCGACGGTTGTTTGTTTGTGTGTGTGCGCTTTTGTGGGTGTATCTGTCCCCCCACATGGGGGTGTATGTGTGTGTGTGCGGGTGAGTGTAAGTGGTGCACAAAGGCGTGTCTCCGTGTGCCTTTTGATATCGGATTTCATTTATAATTAGCTGGAAAAGTTAACGGTTGCCAGCCATACCTTGACTTGTGGTTGGTGTGGCTCCGGTCAAGTAATTTGCTTGTCAGTGGGGTCCCAATGATCCACGGACTGCAGCGGGAGCGGGAAAGGTGTCCTTCGGGGGCGGGTTACCCAATGTTTACCCTCCCCGTGACGTCTCACATGACACCTCGGCTGCTGTCCTTAAAGTGCTTAGATGACGGCGTTTTAAGCCAAAGATTAGCCCATTGCATATGGGGGTCTTTATTTTGGTTATGGATAGATGGATGTGCTTATCGCAAAAACGATCATTGAAATATTTAAAGGAGACTGCTCTGGTAAAACTGTGAGCCCAAACAATTAATTTTAGCAAACAAACAGTAATTGCTTTATACTAAAAGAAATTCTGTTGCAATAATTTTTCTTAACTGGTACCCAACAAGTTTATAACTTAGTTAGGCCCATTCTATTGCTTGCTAGTTCTGACCTTCTCAATATTTAAGTCAAGTAGGTAAGTAAGTAAGGACCTGCTCAAAATAAATATGTAATAAGCTTTTCTAAAAACTGTATGTTTACCTATCTATCTACCTAAATAACTTTGTAGCAATCTATCTATTATAATTATTAATATGTAATACAATTTTCTAAAAAACGTATTTTTACCTATCTATCTGCCTATATAACTTTGTAGCAAACTATCTATTACTTTTCCAATAGACATTTTAAAAATATAAATAACCAAAACGAGGTAACATTTTTAGCAAATTCATGCTCTTCAATCAAAAAAAAAAAAAAAATATATAAAATTCATATTTATTAAGCTAAGAAAACATGAAATTTATAAAACAAAATCCATTTTCAACGACAGTATAAAAATATTTAAATAAAATAAAGGAATAAAATATATAGAAAAGCTGCGAATTTGAAATTCATTTCGAACTGTTTCCTGTTTTAAGGTATAAGTAATATATAAATAATATATATATATATAGAAAATGTGCATAGCATACTTGTGCTTAAGTACTTAGTTTCTTGACCACATTGTCCACAAACTGCTGGAGAATGGCGGTGCCTTCTTGGTCGTTGGCTTCCATTACCTGGTTGAGCAATTCCCAGTTGAAGTGATCATTAAGTAATCCCCGCTTGAGCACGTTGGCGGGCATCATGATATCAAAGTGCCGCATACGCCATTTTGGATTCAGGCGAGGAATGTGGATGCGATTCTCGACGATCACGTCGTCCCCTAATTTGAAGACGTTCGTTTCCGCGCGATCTTCCTCCGTTGGGGGTGCTTTTTTGGAGATCTGGTTCTGAGTCCTCTTCCGGGGTTTCTTGGGCGATGGCGGACGGGGATTCGATTCCGGCTGACGATTCTGGTCTTCGAGTTTTTGCATCCAGCGCCTTTTCAGAACGTTCAGCGATTTCAGTTCCGATGTGGAAAACTCTACCACGTCACCACTCAAGCTGTTTATTGTATCTTTGATCACTTCCTGGGGAAAATGGCAAGACTCATCGATCCACACGCCATTGGTAGGCTTAAAAGTCTCCTTGCGACCACCCATTTCTTGTATAATAAATAGTTACTTAATAAAAGCTTTCCACATATAGAGGTGGTAACAAAATCAATACCACGATTGATAACATCGATATCATTTGGGGGATCCCAACGGAATGATGGGATTTCTTGATGATGCGAAACTTAGATGCTGAACAAATTTTAATTTCCAATACATTGCAACTAAAAAAAAAGCCAGTTGTGTCCTGCAGATTGTGTATTATTTAAAACCATTTAAATTGTGCAACATTCTTTAATTAATGGGATATTGCACATGTGTCCTTAGTTCCACATTCCAAACTTAACGTTTCTATGCAGCCCTGAATTCTTGACATTCACAGTAAAAATGGACACGTACATACGTAAACAATGAATAAACAAAGGAGCACCATTTAAAAATTAAATGATTTGCAGCTCGTAGTAATATGTTTGTATTTTGTAGTTAGCGTAAAACAACCGTAAAACGGTTAATGAACATTAACTGCAAGTACATATCTTCAGCGCTCGCATATAAATATTGCTGGATAAGTATTGGTTTAAGCCACCAATTTCTTTGTTTACATGTCAATCATCTTAATTCCTTATTTTTTTTAGAAAATGAAGGGAATTTGGCGGAATTTTATTAATAGCCACAAGTGAGAGGTTAAAAACTTGACTGCCTTTTAAAATTGACAAACATAAAATTGAACATCTAAAATCTATTATGTCAATAATTTCCCACCTCTTCACTCTAGATGTATGCATATTAAGCCTTTGGCTATCAAAAGTTAAGGCTGACAAGTAAATAAACAAATCATCTACTGTTTTGGCGGATTATTGCAATACTTGTGTATTTAGAAATACTTGTTTGACAACGTTAAATATGAATAAAGCTTACATATACGTTCGCATTGCAAATAACAAATTAGTCATGAACTAAGGATTTCAGGAACAAACCATCGGATTTAAGTGGATTTCCGCAAGAGGGACTCCCATATAAGAAAGTAATCTCTTTACTACAAATATACATTTTTTATAGATCCCAAATAATGTTTTTTAACAATTAAGAACAACGTTTAAAAGCTGTCCTGAAAAAAGCCAAAGTGTTCATAAACAAATGCCCAATCCAGACGTAACCAATTAAAAGCAAACATATTGAAACAAACATAAAGCGCAGCTAATAAACTTTCCAAAAACCCATGTCTCGTCTCCTGTGGCAAATCAGAATAATTTTCCCTATGAATGCTTCGCCCCATTTCGAAACAATGGAGAAGTTACAAAGTAAATTCCACGCCCGGTTGCCAAGTGGTAGTCCAAATTAACAGCTAATTACGTGCGAATGAGAGCTCCTCCGGTGGGGAAAGAGTGCGGGGTCCTCGCAAAATGGGGAAAATGTAACAAGGGGCAGTGCACACCAAACACGTACACCAGCTAAATGGAAAGAGGGAGAGAGAGAGAGACAGATAAAGAGGGACGGACAACGAGTCAAACATTATTTGAATACAAAATTGCCCTTGAAAAGGGTTTGCCAGCCAAATACAGAAGGGCAAAAAAGAACCCAAAAATGGCAGCGAATTACAGAAAATAAACAAGAAAATTCAAAGCCCCTTTCGAGGCGACAACAAAAGTGACAAATTAGTCACTAGCCGTCTACACTAAAAGCGTTAAAATTAAAATTATTTTATTTGTATCATTATTTTTAAGGTGATGATGAACCTTCGTTTAGACTGCCAAATTAGAGTGTTGTAGAACCATTCTTAAAAAGAAAGATTTGTTATTAAATTGGAAGAAATTGAAAATATAATCTCCATTAAGATAAGTTGTCTGAGTAGCCAGGTTTGACTGTCATTCGTATAACAAAACATTTATGTATTCTTTTGGGTCAGTGACGGTCGCAATTAAAATTCTAAGAGCAGAATGCATTTGCTTCTGCTGGGGGATGACGATGTGGTCTACAAAGGATTTCCAATTGTGGTGCTTGTCATAAGACAGTCGCCCAAATCCCCACACGTAGCCTTATCAACTGCAAAACCCCCAACCTTCTGGCATAATTACATGCTAAATTGTTTGCAACAAATAACAAGGCATTAAGGATTACAGAATGCAAAGTGGCTTGTGAACCAAACAGTCCCAATCAAAATAATAGCACAAATAAAGGCACTCATTCTCTATTTTTAATATTAAAATAAAGATGACACAATTGTTTAAAGAGGCCAAAAATTATCATATTTTAAGAAACAATGTATGTAGATATATATACTTTGATATAATTCTTTTACAAACATTTTAGTTTTTTGTTCACAATATTTTAAGACCAGCTTTAAAAGCTGGTGGATAATAGTGGTCAATTGTAAAATATAAATATATATATATATAGTATTATATACATATATAAATATATATGCTTGAATTACTCGCTCCAGTGCCATGGTTTTATCAATTTATATCGCACAGCGGATTGTATTCTTGACAAATTTTTTTAATGTGGTGTCCCGGTTCTTCGTTTTTTGTTGTCTTTATATGTCAGATGTAGAGCCATTTGTTAAAGCAATGGAATCTACAGCTCTTAGGAGAAAAACACCGAACGTTTGCGGGAACGAAAATTCAACGTCGTTCGGTAATTTTATACCGAAGGAAACTACGTCGCCAGGGAAAATTTCTACGATGTCCGGACCAATACGCTGATGCCCAGTATTTATAAAAATTCCATTTAGGGCCCTCTAGAGATTGTAGAGGAGTAACACAGTTATAATTGTACTCAGTTCCGCTATAAAAATCGCATATTACCAACTCCTTTATGAGAACCTTGCCAAGTTCCACTCGGACCTCGGCGTGAATTCGTGACATGTATTCATACTTCAATACCAAATCGCACTTGGAGTGGCGGCCCAATACCTTTCTGCCGGAACGAAGAGGGTACTTTTTGCAGGTTACAAGGTGCTCCAAATAAAATTCCATTTTTACTTGGCTAAGAGCTTTGGGCATGAGACAGATGTAGAACTTCTTTAAATCGACGCCGGTTTTCAGCGCTGACACGCAATCGATTATAGTCGATAACTTAAAATACCATGTATATTTTTGGTTTTTTTTTTGTATGTTTTTCAAATTAAAAAAATTGAATTCTGCTTTTATCTTTCGAAAATAAAAAGTATGAGTTAAGCTGTGGTAAAGTATTTATTGTTATTTTCATAAGTGAAAGCTGTGGAACAATGAAATTCGATGTCCAAAAATCGAAGTATCGAGTACATGGCACTAGATTGACCATCAGAACGTTGTTCAACACTGATCTTTGCGGCAACAAGCTTGAAACTTCTGCATAAAAGATTGGCGCAATAATTGGCTCCGCTGCGTAATTAGTCAAAATCGCCGGAATCCCTTCACCGAGATGACAACACGGGTGAGGCCAAAAGTCAAATACAAAAGTAGCAGCCAACAGTCGCGGCGGGCCAAATGCAGTCAGCCAAAAATAATGAACTCCAAATGAAGTAAAACAAAAAGAAAACACAGTTTTAATAATTCATATTTCATTAGTGAGCAGCAGCAACGCAGGTGAAAACGATGGCAAAGGCGTGTGCCATATAAAATTTATAAAAATCAAAGTAAGCACTGGGAGCACAGGGAAACAAAATCCTCGGTATACGAAGCTTGTATACCCTTTGTTTACGTTTACTTGATATTTTCGATGGAGATTTAACGTAAAAAAATATTCTACATGCATATATATATATACACGTACGTAATATTTTACCCCATGCGATTTTGCAAGGCAAAAGCTTGAAAACTAAAATCTAAAGAATCTCAACCGATTTGATCCTCTTTAGAAACAGAACTTAATTAAGTTGAATTTTAAGATTATATAAAAATTTCAAGTTTTGTTGTTTCTCATAAAATCTATTAAATTCATCCATTTGATTTTATATATGCAAATCAAATGTGTCAATTTTAATTTCGTGATGTTTTGCTATATTATTTATTATATATCTACTATAGGGCTAACTGGCATAGTTAATTGGCATAAGAAACCCATGGCCAACGTGAGAGCAATCTGTGCAAGGGTATTCAAAAGAAGGACGAGGAGCAGGAGGTCAGCTCCGGGTAAAACAAAAAGGAAACGTCGGAAACGAATCTGGATACACATCATCATTTGTCTTGGCGGGGAGAAGGCGGCTTCATTTAGGCCAGGGCACATTGATGAATGAAGTGCGTAGTGGCTGAAAGGCCAAAAGGCAGGCCGCATTAAAAATGCACACGCAATCAGAAAATGCTTCATGGCGGCCTTATGAACGGAGAAGTCCCGGACCTAAGGACTTGGAGGCTACCGAATCCCGACACCCGGCTCTCGACTCCATGCGCCGCCAGGTGATGGATCAGCGGCCTCAGATAAGACAGGCGGAGGAGAACAAGGACCTGAATCCGGATCCGGTGGCGGAGCCGGGGTAATGAGTGACTTGAAGTGGGCCTGCCGCTGCCGTCAAATGTTGTAAGCCCCTTTTGAGCCGGGCCCGGGTGGCAATTTATAATTTGTTTGAGGGCTTTCAGCGGCCTTTCAAGGCAATTACCCCGCACGCCGGACACCCGGACCTTTACCTGGCTTTACCTTTGGCAGCAACACCTTCGCAGCATTTCGGCATGACTGGCTGCGAACTTTGGCACCCGCCCGGTTTCGAGTACGGGTTCGCTTACTGGGTCAACGCGTTGGCCTGGCCATCCGCCTCCGCGACTCAGTGATTTATTATGGAGCATGGAGAATGTTTTCTTTGAAGCAGCACGTTCATTCAGCAAGGATTTTTGCGTGCACTCAAAAAAAGATGGACCGATCATGTAAGTCAGTGTAGGGCTTAAACTGCAAGCCCACAAATCTGATACTGATTATATCTCATGATTTATAGTAACTCCCTTAGGATGTCTTAAGATTTTTATATTTAAAAGATGTTCTTTTTATTTAATATAAATTTATGGAATTTAATATCCAAAAACTATAGGTCCCAAAATTGTAGAAAAAGACTTATCAAACTCTTATAAGGCAGCTAATTTAAAATAAGCAATGCTAGGAAAAATGTAATAATAATTCACCCACTATTTGCTTTTTATTTAGGTAAGCATACTTTTTGTATAGTATCGTTTTATATACGTGATGTCACAATTAATATATTTTTTAAGTGTTGCACGACTGGTCACTGAGTGAAAGCGTGGGTGTTGACCCGTACGAATAGGCCGCAGATATGAACAGATTTCCCATTGACAGAACAGCGACTTTCGCTCTTTCTCAACGCCCTCAAGTCGATGGAATGGGGTTCCTTTGGATGCCACTTACACACCAGCCGCTTGTAGATTTGTATTAAAATTCAAGCTCTTTCATGCTATTAATATTCCATTGCGTATTCGCGCGAGAATATATTCCATTTTTAATAACACGAAGCATTATGAAAATTTTATAAATAAAGGGCAGGGATAGGATATACAGGGGTAGCTTTTGCCAGATTCCTTCTGCTGCTAACTTGTTCTCGTCGTCGCCGGCAGAAAAGGAAAGCTCAAAAGTCAAAGCAAGCGGGGGGAAAACCCACTGGGGCCATCGCACCGAACCGAACTGAGCTGAACCGAACCGAACGCCAAGCATTGTAGGAATCCAGAAGCTGGATAAATTGCGCAATGAACCCCATTTGCTGGGTTGGGTGGGGGTCTGGTAAAGTTGTGTGCCACCCACACACTCTCGCCCCCCAAAGAAAACAAAGAAAAAACAATTGAAATGTGAATATTAAATATATACAAGTACAAGTTGCCCGTTAGTGAGCTCTGCCATTGTTTGTTGCAGCACCTTGCAGGCGGCACAGATCCACAAACACCCACAGAACCACCAGAAACACCAGCCAGCAACCCAAACCAACGAGCCATCGCTTGGCGGCAAACTCCCCGCGGCGTCATTGTGCTCCCTGTTAGTCGGCAGTGGAAAATGCCATTTGATGGCATTTAGATGGGATCGCTGATTGATGTTACTGGCTTCTCCTCGAATTCCCAAAGCCAGACCGGTGCTCTGGGCACCATGGGTGTGGGTCAGTTCGGTTCCCAGCTGCTGGAGGGCTTCGCGGTGGATTCGTGGGCGCTTAGGAGGGTTGTGAGCGGTGGCTCTACGCAAAGGAACCAGGCAGTAAGATGTCTTGGGTTAGTATAACCAATAAAACTATGTTGAGTGGTTAGAAGTTCTTAATAATGTATTTCTTAATCATTTTTTTTTATAGTTGAGAGCTATCAGATTTTAAAAGAAATATGTAGGTATGGAACAAGGAAGTCTGAGCCTAATAAATAGTTTGTTCTGGTAATTTCACATACATTATTGCTATTTTTAAATTTTACATTTTATACTAGCAGAAGGAAGTGCTGAAATTGTTTCTTCATAATCCATCAAGTTAGCAAACCTGTTATCTACAACTAACGAAGTAAATTCCAAAGCTTAAAAAGAACTCAACTTTTTAAAAAAAGTATTCCCCTGATCTGATTTAAAAAAGTATGTCGAATTAACATAGAAATAGAGTTACGTCAGCTCGGTGGGTGAAACCCTATTACTGTTTGCAGCCTCGCATCAGCCGATAACTTCATCTAAGCCCAGTCACATCTCACATCTCGGGCTGCCAGCAACGTTATTTTTACATGGACATCAACCTATATATCTAGGGCTTTATATAGTACCCTTGCCCATCAGCCCAGCATATGTGTAATGCATGCAACGAGGCACATTAATTAAATAAAAATTGATTTTCCAAGCGCATGAAATGCAATCAACGGCCGGGCTTCAAGTGGGTCCATGTGGCCTGGATGCCGGCCTGGATTCCGAACTCCGGTCTCGGGACTCCGCTGGACAGCGGACCCTGGACTCTGTCCTCCGCCCTCCGTCGTCCCTGTTCCGTACACCCATTTACTATGCTCTGCTCCACTCCGCCGTGTTGTCAAATGGAGTTAACAAAGTTTACGCTTTTTGCGCGCGCCGCTGTCTCATTCTGTTGTTGGCGGGCACTGCTGCTACTGCTGGCTTTATTTTTTGTGCTGCCGCTCTGGTTTTTTTGTGGCCCCTCATCGTTTTTTGTTGCATCGAATGCATAAGTATATAATGTGCAGCTGGCTGGACATGGGTGGGTGGATCGGGCGTGTAGGACCACGGTCCTGTTGCCATGGTGCCCGTCGCCGGTCCGTTTCGCCTTTTATCCGTTTGGCCACAACGGCGGCAATGAGTTTAATGTGCGCTGTCGCTTTTTGGCCGTATTTAAACCACAGCAAGTCATCAGGCAAATTGAATTTTCAACGTATGGTCGCACATTGCGTTGCACCACTCCGTGTCACGACACCGTCCTTCTTCCCATCTTTTTCTGACCCCAACTCGCTCTGCCCTTAACCCTCTAAAGTGTTATTTTAAACTAACTCGATTACTAGGTTTACACCGTTTAAATTTAATTTGGGAAGATTGGTTTTCCTTTCGCAAGTTGGCTATTTGACTTTCAATATTTTGCAGAAATCTATTACAAACTATGAACATATACGAGTATATTAATACATTTAGCCCCACAAAAAGCCTTGATTGCTTTGAGTTATAAAGTGCCGAGATAAAACTCAAACTTGGAAGTACAATATCTGATTTAAACCAGGTAGAGACACCTTACAAACCAATTCAAAATTCAAGAATTGAGGGCCTTATAAGAGGGTGTGAATCATTTATAGCACCCTTCTTTAAAATGTCTAGTAGACTTCTTCGGTAAATGTAATCTTAGCGTAATATGTTTTGGCTAATAATGCCTTGCAGCCCTTTAAAATGTTGGAGGGTTAAAGCCTTGGCTTTTGCTGTCAGCCCGCAATTCTCGTGTCAGTGGCTGTATAACATTTCCATCTCGCTCTTATCAGCACGGTCAGCGTCTGTCCTTTATAACCCACACCAACACCACCAGCCCCACCCCTTCACCCACACCCGTATATAGCCGTAATGCCCCAAACCCACTGCATTTGCTTGCTTCGTTTCTCGTTACAAAATTACCCACGATAAAAATTGAATTACTTCGTCGTCGTTGTCGGAGTCGTAGTCGTAGTCCCCCTGCTTTCACTCCCGGCAAAGTGTTGGGCTTGCTCTTGACGCGCCCATGTCCCCCGTCCTTGATCCTTCCCCAACTCCTCGTCGCTTTTCAACTCCACACCGCCTTCCTCGTTCTGCTTAGACGACACTGAAACTGTCGCCAGGCCTGGTCCTGTGTGACTCCGTCTAATGATAAATGAGCTGCAATGGATGACAGCGAATCAACTTAAGTGTATTGCTCTGCTTCACTCTCCACTCCTGCCCGGAATGCGGTAGTTGGGGGGAATTTTCCGGCTCCGTTTGCCTTCCAGCCAGCCAATGCACTTTCCCCCTCAACGCCCCCTTTTTTTTTTTTTGCTCCTGTTTACGTTTCACTTCAAAATTCTATGCTACACTAAATATTTACATAGTGAAAAAACTTGGCAAGTGTAAGTGAGATGCTTTAAAGGAGCACCGAGGAAACTTTGCCAAAGTTCCTTCACTCATTATGCGCTTTTGAGGAGGATTGGCGGGCATAATCAGCAAATTGTTGGGAACAAGAAGTGGTGACTAGGCTAGACTCGAAACAGCTGCGGCTTAAGCGAGTTCAATGGCACTAAGTATGATAATTATAATATCGAATATTTCTAAAGGAATTGAAGTTTGCTATTGCGACAATATGGAAAAATTATGCATTCACACTATTTTCTAAACGTTGTTATTTATTACTCATAATACTAAGGAAAATGAAAACTATATTACGAAATAGAGTATATAAACATATTTAATATATAAATCATTTTCTTTAAAATGTTGTAAGCAATGTTCGGGCATTACGCCTTACTGATGAGCGCATATGTTTTAATACATATTATATAATATATTTTATTATGTTCTTCCTATACATATTCTTTTATATATTATAAATATTCGTTTCATAAGGTTTTTAGCTATATTAAGACATTACCACTTGGTTAATCCATGTAATTTTCATTTATTTATTTTACCTACAATGCAGTATCCAAAATAACCTCTTCGAAAAACGCACATGATTTGCCAGATTTTCATAAAGTTCAAGATTTATTGTGAATAACAAAAAAATAAAGGGTTTTTAAAATAGTGAAATAAATTATGTAGGACCAGAGTTTGAGATAGAATATCATTGCCAGTACAGGAATACAGTTGATTGTAATATTATTGCACGGAAGCAGCAGATGTTAAGCGGCGAAGAAGCGAGCTTCCATCAGAATCGCAGTTGTAATCCCCTATTTCTCCAGGCAGCGGGCCTCGTCCTTGGGCACACAGGACTGGGAGAGCCAGTCGAAGCGCTCCTTTTTGTCGCAACGAAGGTGGGCGAACTTGTGCTTGCCCGACTTCTTCACCTCACAGCGGTAGTATTTGCGGCAGTCGCGGACATCCGGGTAGACATCGTCCTCGTCGCACTCGTCACCCTTCTTCAGCTTCTTGATCAGGTCCTTCACGTACTCCTTTTTTCCTTGGAGCTCAACTCGTCGTCGCCCTCGTTCTTTTGAGACTCGTTGTCCTTCTGGGATTCGTTTTCTTTCTGGGACTCCTTGTCCTTTTCCTCCTTGGAGTCCTTCGACTTCTCCTTCTCTTTGCTGTCCTTGTCCTTCTTTTCCTTATTGTCCTTCTCCTTCTGTTCTTTGCTGTCCTTCTCCTTCTTCTCCTCGGAGCTGGGCTTCTTTTGCTCTTTGGACTGATCCTCTGCAGACTTTGGCTTGTCCTTGGACTTCTCACTGGAGGCCTCAACAGAGGCATTCTCGTTGGACGCAGGTCCTGCAACTGGCGGAGCTGGGGCTGCCTGTTCTACGCTCTCGGCAGTCTCGGGATTTTTAATGCTTGGTTGTTGGGGTTCCTCAGGTTGCTGAGGGTTTTCCGGTTGGACTGGAGCCTCGGTGCTGGTAACTGGCCGTTTTGGTCGCCAGCTGTTCACCCAGTTTTGCCAGTTAGGCCAGAACGGACGATGGGGTGGATTGACACCGCCATTAATCAGACCACTGCCCGGAGCAGCAGCCGCAGCACCTGAGCCGTTTTGTCCAGGAAGCTGGGGCCTCCAGATCGGGGGCAGAATGGGAACACTCGGCCGACCATGCCAAGGCCAAGAGCCTGCTCCGCCAGGAAGTGTAGGAATCGATGGAACGACAGGGCCAGTTGGTGGATTGAGCGGAGAACTTGGAACAGTGCCAGCTCCAGAATTGGAACCAGGAGCACCACCAGCAGGAACGTTGGGAACAGCAGGAGCACCACCAGCGGGAACGTTGGGAGATGCAGGAGCACCACCTGCGGGTACGTCGGGAACAGCAGGAACGCCGGGTACAGCAGGAGCACCACCACCAGGCACATCGGGAACAATAGAAGAGCCAGGAGCAGCAGGGTTTCCTTCAGCTGGAGAGCCAGGAGCGGCAGGGTTTCCTTCAGAAGGAGCTCCAGGGGCAGCAGGGTTTCCTTCAGCTGGAGAGCCAGGAGCAGCGGGGTTTCCTTCAGCAGGAGCTCCAGGGGCAGCAGGGTTTCCTTCAGCTGTAGAGCCAGGAGCAGCAGGGTTTCCTTCAGCAGGAGCTCCAGGAGCAGCAGGGTTTCCTTCAGCTGGAGAGCCAGGAGCAGCAGGGTTTCCTCCAGCAGGAGCTCCAGGAGCAGCAGGGTTTCCTTCAGCTGGAGAGCCAGGAGCAGCAGACGATCCATCAGCAGGAGCTCCAGGAGCAGCAGGGTTTCCTTCAGCTGGAGAGCCAGGAGCAGCAGGGTTTCCTTCAGCAGGAGCTCCAGGAGCAGCAGGGTTTCCTTCAGCTGGAGAGCCAGGAGCAGCAGACGATCCATCAGCAGGAGCTCCAGGAGCAGCAGGATTTCCTTCAGCAGGAGAGCCAGGAGCAGCAGGGGTTTCCTTCAGCTGGAGAGCCAGGAGCAGAAGGGTTTCCTTCAGCTGGAGAGCCAGGAGCAGCAGGGTTTCCTTCAGCAGGAGCTCCAGGGGCAGCAGGGTTTCCTTCAGCTGGAGAGCCAGGAGCAGCCGGGTTTCCTTCAGCAGGAGCTCCAGGAGCAGCAGGGTTTCCTTCAGCTGGAGAGCCAGGAGCAGCAGACGATCCATCAGCAGGAGCTCCAGGAACAGCAGGGTTTCCTTCAGCTGGAGAGCCAGGAGCAGCAGACGATCCATCAGCAGGAGCTCCAGGAGCAGCAGGGTTTCCTTCAGCAGGAGAGCCAGGAGCAGCAGGGTTTCCTTCAGCTGGAGAGCCAGGAGCAGCAGGGTTTCCTTCAGCTGGAGAGCCAGGAGCAGCAGGGTTTCCTTCAGCAGGAGCTCCAGGAGCAGCAGGGTTTCCTTCAGCTGGAGAGCCAGGAGCAGCAGACGATCCATCAGCAGGAGCTCCAGGAACAGCAGGGTTTCCTTCAGCAGGAGAGCCAGGAGCAGCAGGGTTTCCTTCAGCTGGAGATCCAGGAGCAGCAGAGTTTCCTTCAGCTGGAGAACCAGGAGCAGCAGGGTTTCCTTCAGCTGGAGATCCAGGAGCAGCAGGGTTTCCTTCAGCTGGAGAGCCAGGGGCAGCAGGGTTTCCTTCAGCTGGAGAACCAGGAGCAGCAGGGTTTCCTTCAGCAGGAGAGCCAGGAGCAGCAGGGTTTCCTTCAGCGGGAGAGCCAGGGGCAGCAGGGTTTCCTTCAGCTGGAGAGCCAGGAGCAACAGGGTTTCCTTCAGCAGGAGCTCCAGGGGCAGCAGGGTTTCCTTCAGCTGGAGAACCAGGAGCAGCAGGGTTTCCTTCAGCTGGAGAGCCAGGAGCAGCAGGGTTTCCTTCAGCAGGAGCTCCAGGAGCATCAGGGTTTCCTTCAGCTGGAGAGCCAGGAGCAGCAGACGATCCATCAGCAGGAGCTCCAGGAGCAGCAGGATTTCCTTCAGCAGGAGAGCCAGGAGCAGCAGGGTTTCCTTCAGCTGGAGAGCCAGGAGCAGAAGGGTTTCCTTCAGCTGGAGAGCCAGGAGCAGCAGGGTTTCCTTCAGCTGGAGAACCAGGAGCAGCAGGGTTTCCTTCAGCTGGAGAGCCAGGGGCAGCAGGGTTTCCTTCAGCTGGAGAGCCAGGAGCAACAGGGTTTCCTTCAGCAGGAGCTCCAGGGGCAGCAGGGTTTCCTTCAGCTGGAGAGCCAGGAGCAGCAGGGTTTCCTTCAGCTGGAGATCCAGGAGCAACAGGGTTTCCTTCAGCCGGAGAGCCAGGAGCAGCAGGGTTTCCTTCAGCTGGAGATCCAGGAGCAGCAGGGTTTCCTTCAGCTGGAGAGCCAGGAGCAGCAGGGTTTCCTTCAGCTGGAGATCCAGGAGCAACAGGGTTTCCTTCAGCCGGAGAGCCAGGAGCAGCAGGGTTTTCTTCAGCTGGAGCTCCAGGAGCGGCAGTGGGTCCTTCAACTGGAGAGCCAGGAGCAGCAGAAGATCCACCAGCAGGAGCTCCAGGAGCAGCAGTTGTTCCTTCAACTGGAGAGCCAGGAGCGGCAGTGGGTCCTTCAACTGGAGAGCCAGGAGCAGGAGAAGATCCACCAGCGGGAGCTCCAGGATCGGCAGTGGTTCCTTCAACTGGAGAACCAGGAGCGGCAGTGGGTCCTTCAACTGGAGAGCCAGGAGCGGCAGTGGGCCTTTCAACTGGGGAGCCAGGAGCAGCAGAAGATCCACCAGCAGGAGCTCCAGGAGCGGCAGTGGTTCCTTCAACTGGAGAACCAGGAGCGGCAGTGGGTCCTTCAACTGGAGAGCCAGGGGCGGCAGTGGGTCCTTCAACTGGAGAGCCAGGGGCGGCAGTGGGCCTTTCAACTGGGGAGCCAGGAGCAACAGACGATCCGTCAGCGGGAGTTCCAGGTGCGGCAGTCGAAACATTGGGAGGAGTGCCAGGGGCAGCAGTCGTAACATCAGCAGGGGTTCCAGGGGCATCGGTTTCAGCGGGAGCAGTGGGGTCAACTAAACCGGGTTCGTTAGTAGATTCTTCGGGGGCGTTGGGGTCCGGGGTGGTGTTGGGATCAAGTGGCGCGTTTGGATCGGCTTCACCAGGAGCGAGGGTAGTGCCCGCGGGAGCATTGACATCTTCTCCAGGAGCGGTTGTGGTGCTCTCGGGCGCCACGGGGGTGTTGGGTTCGATGGTTGAGTCTGTGTTATCCGATCCTGGTGCTAAGGTGGTGTCCACGGCTGTTGTCTCTGTGGTGACCTCATCGCCGGGAATCGTTGATTCCGTCTCCAGAGGTGCCTCCGATCCCGTGGTGGTCTCGTCGATATTTGCGGTTGTAGTCTCAGCCGGAAGTGTGGTGGTTTCTTCCGCTGCCTGGGTCGTCTCAACCGGGGCAGATGTCTCCGCGGGAGCGCTGCTGGGTGCGGCACTCGGTCCCTCGGTGGAGATCTCTACGATGGAAGCGCTGGAGCTGCCATCCACCAGCGGAGCGGACTCACTGACGGGACTATCGGTAATGGTCACCATTTTGGCAACGGCCGCCGTTGGAGCCTCGACGGCCGACTTAACCGGCACACAGATCTCGAGACCGTCGGTCACGCAGCGCGTGTTCAGTTGGCAAGGCACCACTGGACCGAAGGTCAGGTCGTCCACGCACTGCTGGTAGGACAGTGGTCCCACACAGACGGCGCTCTTGCCGCCGCACTGAAGTCCGACGGCGGCGGCATGCGCCTGATGGCTGGCCACCAGTGAGGTCAACTGCAAGAGAAAAGGCCCAGGGGGTTGGGCGTATTAGTCGGTGTGGACTTCATGGGTTCGGATCGGTGCACTGTTCTTGTCTCGGGAGCTTAAAAACTACACTGGTTTCGATTCACTTGCATAGGTTACTTTCGATTGGTCGCCGAGCGCTTTGAACGTTATCCAAAGTAATAAGAGTCCCGGGAGCTATGGACACAATTTTGATTCGGTTTTTTGTTTTCGAGACATGTGCGCGTATCCAAGTGCCACACCGAGTGATTTCCAATGAAATATATACATATGTACAACTGTCAGTAAAGACAACCAAAGCAAACAAACAGCAAAAAAAAAATATGGGTACAAATAGCGACACTGATATCGACAGCAAGAAATAATTGCTTGAATCGGAATACCGGCCGCGTTTTCGGTATTATGCAATTACCACTAGCAACACCAGAAGTCTGGTGGATCGGTTCGTTGTCATCGTCGTCGTTGGATGTGTTTTTGGTTCGAATGAAGAATCGTTACTATCCTCTGTACGCCAGCTATCACGGTTTTTATGCAAAAAATCTCCGCAGCTTCCCGAGCCAAATCTCCGGTGACGGTAGCCAAATAAACGATTATCGCTTGTTTGCTCTGTTTCCAGATAAGCGTGGTCAAACCAATTTATGGTATTGCGGAGCAAGTGATATGTAAAGCCGAAAACAACAAATCGGAAAGCTTTTCCCAATCCAGAATTGGGGGAAGTTAAATCTGCATATGATAGTGGCTCGGTGTGATCCCATATCGATTTGGCACGCACTATATGGTTACCATGAGTCAGCCTCCTTATCTTAGATCTAACAATGTTTTCCGGCCAATTGTTTTGACTATCAAATACGTAATCTTAATCTTGGCGAGCACTAACGTCAAAGTAAATGTTGATAAAACGGGCTGCGCATTTCCGTTGACTGAAGTCTTTGCTTTATTTGCCCCCACCTAGTTGGATAAACATAATCGCAGATATTAAACGAGCAGACCTACAGACAGACAGACCGGCATTTTTTCATTTCTTGGTTTCATTTCACTCAATCCAATTCTCGGGGTCATCAGCCCGCCCCCACGAGAGATCTCCGAGTGCAATTTTTGTGGCCAATGACGCAGGAGAAACCCACTTGACCGAGAAATCTTCTAGCGAACCTTGTTTTCCACAAATACCACGATAAGAGTGGGTATTTCTCGGTTACTCTTTAAGATTAGGGCTCAGCTGTGATCTGCTGTCCGAAATGCATATCATTTGGGACAGATCTTGTCAGATGAGATAAAGGCTGAGCGATCCAAACGATATTGTATAACTGGAGGAGCCCTTGAAATTTACAATCAAAGGCCGTACATTCTAAAGATCAAGATCACTCAAATGTAATCCCATGAAAATGTGTAAGCTAAGCAAAGTTACATTTTCAAGCACACGCCAGCGATGAGAATTTTGTGCTAATACATTTTTACAATGATAAGTATAAAAGCTATAAAAGTTATTGGCGCTACTCTAAAATGTGCATGCATTGTTTAAATTTTATTTATCGAGTCAATGGGGCTAGATTTCCAAGCTATTGCATTAAATATTATTTTATGCAAACGGAAATCAGCCATCGTTTCAATTAAGAAATCCAAGTTTCCCCTTAAGGCCTCAATTACCATATGAAATGGACACCTGCGGTATACATAACTCCCCGGAGGTCGAAAGGTGCGCTTAACATCTGTCATGGATCCCACGAAGACTCCCACCGGCATCCTTTGAACTTCGCCCTGTCCCTGGCCTATTGCATATGCCCTTTGAGCCTGCACCGGCGAATTCCATGAAAATTGAACAATTAAGTGGAATTTGCTTTATTTTTTTTTTCACCATTAATGCGGTTAAGCCCATACAACAAAAACCGAAAAATCGAGGTGGAAAAAATGAAAAATGGAAAATGCAATGCAGGCGCAGTCACATTGTGGTTTTCGTGTGTCTAGACAATACAATAAATACAGTTAGCCATATATTTGTATTATCAAATATGTATGCACTGCGAGTAAATAAAACCAATTCGCATTAAAAAGGGGCAATCATATTTAGTAATTTGCTAGAAATATGTTGAACAGTTCAGTGAGTTCTGTAAAAATAGGCAACACATTTTTTCTTTGAAAAAATTAATGAACTAAAAATTGTCTAATTATCTAAAAGTAGTTGGGGCGAGTGTTTTTTGCTTTCTATCTCATCTTAAGGAAAAAGTTCTGCTTTATGAGATAAGAAGTTATGTACAGATATCAGTAGTGCTTTTGCAATTCTTGGTTAAAAATGTTTTAACAAATATATTAAGCCTTTTCTTGGACTGTTATCAACTTTGTTTTATAATTATTATTTTGTATTACGATTTTTCATCTAGAAAATCGTTTCATTTCAGTGTGCAGTTGTATTTAATATTATGACAGTTGGGGAGTGGCAATCGATGAGAAACTTTCATGCTAGGTGAGTGCTAATTCGCTCGAAACCCAGTGGCTGGAGTGGACCCAAACCCAAATAGGCTTTGAGGTCGGCTGCCGGATCCGTGGGGCAATAGTGGGTAGGCGCGAAGGGGCGGCATGCAAATGAGGCAAGGCGGTGGGTCAAATTATGCATCGGAGTACCGGAGGGCCATCCTTGGACCTGTAAGCTGCCTCGCTTCCACCTTTGGCCACCGTGGCCAAGCTGCGGATCCGACCCTTTGCAACGTGAGGCCGTGGCAGTGGCAGCTGCAGTTGCTGTTGCAGTTGCAGTTTTAGCTCCTCCGTTAATGTTGTTGGCGCTGCGGTCGCGGCTTTGGCCATGCCCATGGTCGCGGCTATGACGATGCCGATGCCGATGGTGGTTGCAGTGGTGCGGTGGTGGTGGCTTCCAGTGGAACCGCGGCTCGACTCTCTTGCCTCATTGGCGTTTCACAAAGCGAGCGGCGTTGGCTAAATTTGCATAAATTAACAATGTTTCGCAATTGCAGTCACTGATGCAGCGGATTCTTAGTGGCATTAGGGGGCACGGAACCCGCACAATCCTCGCTTGGTCCCATGCCCCGTAACCCATTCCCCATGCCGCATGCCCCATGTGCTGGGTCCAGTGTCCAGTGGCCGGTGTCCACTGTCCCATGCGAGTTCGTGTGTGTTTTGTGTGTCGCAAGCGTGGGCAGTGTGCGCGTTTTATTGATTTGATGCTCCAATGCACTTATTATCCCTCGGGCTGCCGCTGCTACTGCCTGTTAATCCCCTGGCGATGCGACGCCATTTGCCACGCCCCCGTCCGCCCACCAGTGCCTCCCAGGCGCAAACACACAGACAGTGAGGAGGATATATGAGCATTAGGGTGAGCCACATATCAGCAAAGTTGATCGATTGCGGCTCATTAGGACCTTATTCTTTCGGAGGAGGATGAGGAGCGTAATCGTTAATGAAAGGAGTAAATGCAAAAAGTTTTTTTAAACAGCCAAAACAAAATAAGAACCGTCAGAAAAGCACATTTAAACTTTCCTCTAGAAAATAAATATAAATAGACGCAATCCCACTGAATTTAAAGGGAAAGTTTTTACCGAGTTTGCGATTATACATATAATCTTTAGACGGGTTATTAAAAGCCAGAACCCAAATATGAAGGCTAATTTTAAAATTGCTTCTTAGCAAAAGGAAACTGATAAGAATAGCACGAAAAAAAGATAAGATGCGAATACAACCTAAATAGCTCCAGTTTTGATAATCCATAAATAAATCTCCTAATTGCTCCAATTGTCGCAAAACTCTTTTACTTTATTAGCATTACCTTTTCCAGTGAACCACCCGATTGACGAGAGTTTTTAACTCTTTTGCATTGTAAATTGGTTCAATGCGCGTGCAAAATGAAATCATCTTGCAGTCAATTAATCAAATAGTCATGAATAGTCTCCGATTCGTGATGTGGCACACAAAAACTTCAAACAAAACCGAAATCGTTTAGCTTATCGTTTGTTGTTTGACGTTGCCGTATTTAAAATTCTAAAATTACACGCACAGCTGGGCAAAATTGTGGTGCAGCAGCCATGGCAGAAGCGAATCCAGGAGCCGGATTTACCGAGGAGCTCGACACCAGCTGGTGCCTGATCGAAAGCGATCCGGGTGTCTTTACCGAGCTAATTCGTGGCTTCGGCTGCACTGGAGCCCAGGTGGAGGAGATCTGGACATTGGATGCGGATGCCTTTCATCACCTGGAGCCGATCCATGGTCTGATCTTCCTGTTCAAGTGGGTGCAGGACGACAAGCCAGCCGGTCGCGTGGTCAAGGATCGCAGTGACGTCTTCTTCGCCCGCCAGGTGATCACCAATGCCTGCGCCACTCAGACCCTTCTCAGTCTTCTGCTGAATCTGCACCACACGGACATCGATTTGGGCAGCACTCTCAACGGCTTCAAGAGCTTCTGCCAGAATCTGGACCCGGAGACCCGGGGCTTCTGTCTGAGCTACCAGGACAAGATACGCAAGGTGCACAACTCATTCGCCCGACCCGTTCTCTTTGAGTTGGACACGCAGCAAGCTCCGCAGGACGAGGATATCTACCACTTTGTGGGTTACATGCCGATAAACGGACGACTCTACGAACTCGACGGCCTGCACGAGGGTCCCATTGAGCTGGCCGAGGTTGGGAAGCAGCAAAACTGGCTGGACGTGGTGCGTCCCATCATTGAGGCCCGCATGCAGCGCTACAGCGTCGGCGAGATCCACTTCAACCTTATGGCCTTGGTATCGGATCGCCAGCGGTGCTACGAGCGCCAGATCCAATTGCTCGTCCATCAGCCATCGCCGTTGACCCACGAGGAGCGTCAGGCGGAGATTGCCAGCCTGAGGACCTATGTGAAGTTCGAGCAGGACAAGAAGCGTCGCTACCGACAGGAGAATCTTCGCCGGCGCCACAATTATTTGCCCTTCATCGTCGAGCTGCTGAAGCAACTGGCCGAGACCGGCCAACTGATGCCCATCTACGAGAAGGCCAAGCAACAGGCCATGCAGTTCCAGGCTCCCAACAGACTGAACCATAAGCAAAATCAAGGACCCTAGTCCTATCTACCTTTAACTGGTAGACAACCCTTCACTGACAATCTTTAATTATTGATTACTGGAACTTTTGTTCCGGTAGCCAGAAGCTCGCTCTGTTTAATTCAATTTAATTTTTTTTTCTTTGATTATATTAAATAAATATGTTGAGCGCAGTGAAGTGATAAGATAGAGCAATCTGACTTCAACTTTTTGCCGCAGTGGAGATTTTCTAGGGATTAAAGGGTTTACGATGATTCACTGGCATTAAATGCATGCCAAAAAGAAGCAATAAACTGATTTGAAGAAAAACCGAAAATTGCATGAACAGATTTATGGCAATCTCGAGTGTCCATTCAAGAAGGGCTGCTTGCAGCTCGGAATTGTGACAGGTTCCATTTGGGATTGCCCCAAAACAGCATGGCTAGTGGCCCTCATCTCGACCTTCTGCCCACATCTTGTCGCCGGTTTTCAATTTGCATTTGCTGCACTTCCTGCAGCTCCTGCAGCTTCTCATCCGGGTGGTCCGTCTGTCGCTGTGATAAATGATTTCTTTTTAATGCTTCGATGGACCCAACTTAACGGAGCCCGTCTAAAACTCCAGCCTCTATCTGCATCATCCGGATGAAACGGAGATGGCGGGGCGGCGGTGGATACTCCGGGCCTGGACGTCGCGCTTATTTGTTTATGTTGCACAAAGTAAACAACTAATTTTAATTTGCCGCAGGAGCCGCACAGTCACGACAAGATGACGACGACGACGACAACGATGATGGCCGAGCAGTCGGAGATGGGGTGGCAACGGCGCCGGGAAAACAGTGACAACTCTGGATACCTTAACCAGGTATACCCTTCAAAAACTAATAGATAGCGCAAAAAAAAACTGCAAAAATAATTAACTAGCAACTCCTTACATTTTAAAGGTAATAGTAAAAAAACAAATAACTTGGGTTCTACCCATGGGTCTCAGTTGCCATTGAAGATCCCAAGGTCACTGTTTTGAGTCTGGAAGTGGGGTTTGCATCGCTCTATTCAGATGAAATCCAAAAAAGGAAGTTCTTATGATCCAGTTTTTATTGCTCGGGAAAAGGAGAACGCGCTGCATAAAAATCATGTTGTACGTCATAGGTAATGGCAGCTAAATGAACTTTTAAAGATGTGTTAAACGATAGTTTATTTAAGATCAACAAATCCGGTTACAGTATCGTTTCTCAGTCAAAAGCTCCTGCGGTTGCAAGAAATCGGTAAGTATTGCATGGAGCTCCACCGTGTGGCGAACTTCTGGTCAAAAGAATGATACCCGGACAAGGGTACAAAATCAGGGGGAGCAGCAAGGACATCGGTGGACAGGCGGTGGGGCAATTGAAGTGGGAGTGGGAGTGGCAAGCGGCTGCCATAAAAGGGAAACACATTCGCATACACAGACAGCAACAAACCGCAAAAATAACCAAAGACATTCTTCTACCCGCCCACCCACACAACTTTCCATCTCGTTTTTCCCCGCCCCATCTGGATTTTCTTTTGTTACATTCGGCTCTCTGTTTTCATTCTTTCAGCTCGTGGACATATGTAAATATGAGTGCAGCAGAGCAATCATAACAAAAATGCTGCACACTCAAATTATCCCTAAATAATTTAGATCTGTGCGGGCGAACGGGCTGGTGGGCAACTTTACCTTTTGAAGCCTGTGTGTGGAGCTGATTTTCGGTTTGCTTATCTTTCATTTCATATTTTTGGCCGACAGAGTTGGATGGAGTGGCTGTGGACAAGGAGGAGGGGGGGGAGGGGACCCAACATGAAAGCGGAAGCGGAAGTGCTTACCTCTACACACATGCCCATGGGAGTGCGGGTTTGCAGAGGCTGAAATGCAGCACCCAGAGAAAATACAGTATATGTTCATTTTCATGTCTTTGAGATTCATGAATAATAAAAATAAAATAATAAAAATTATACTATAACTGTGTCCTATCTGCTTAAATTATTTCATTTATAACAGTTCGTTATTAGTTATTTTTTTAACGCCACCATAAACAATTTATAAATTGTCGCTGTGCGAAGAAGCAAACAATTATTGGGCCTATTAAACCATTTTTATGAACACACTTTTTTGTTTACTTCAGAAAATATTGGCTAAGATGGCTATTGCATTAATTAAGTATTTAAAGTATATGTACGAGTGTGTATAATGGATTGCATTTGTACAGTTTTTTGGATTTTGTTTAGATACAAGTTTGTAATAAAAAGAGTCATTCATAATCATATATTTTATTAATATGATTAAAGTAAAACTTCATATTTGCTGAGATAATTAAATTGTAATTTTATGTTGGTAGATAATGTGGCTTCAGCAGTTTTTCCGTGTGTGAACCCAAAGTGCTTTCCCTGCTGAATGAAGGCGTGGTTGAGATGGGAAAGTCCTTTCTTCTGCCTACTCAGCTTTAAAATGTGTCCACAGGTGCACACACGCACCCACACACACTTTTAGCTTTTGACTTTTATGCTAAACAAAACAAAAACATCAAATTTGCATTAAAGAGGGTAGATATTAGACCAAACCAAAAAAAAATCACATTTTTGAAGCTGGTTAATTAGTGTCTGTTAACGGAATGTTTAACCATATTTATTCCAATTATTGCATAATAAATTTTTGTTACGTTAGCTGGAGAAAGCGAAAAACCTAAAACCTAAACCATAATTTCAACAATAAAGCATATCTGGATATCAGCTCCCACAGAATTGGCAATATACGAGTATGCCTTCAATTTTTTGGACAAACCGCACATTAAAAAGCCGGACCTAAACAAAGCACAAAACTTTGAATTATAAATTAATGAACATTGACACTAGTGGTTAGTTTTAAAATTTGATCGTAAACTTTTCGGACTGCCCTCGCTTGGCTGCGTTTAGTGCAAAAGGCTAATTGAAATTTGCCATTAATAATGCAAAAAGGTCTCGGTGAGAAACTTTTAGGGCCACCCACCCACTTGAGGCTCACACATATGATGGCACACACATGTACACTGTGCATACACATTTGTGTGCCCTGTGTGTGTGTGTGTGCGTGCCATTTTAAATATTTCAAATATCTGTAACATTTGCGCGGTGACTGCCAAGTAACGAAATACGCTACGGTGAGATGAGATGAGATGAGGTGGTTGGGCGGGTGGTTGGTTGGTTGGAAAAGGGGTCGGGGTTGAGTGGGTGGGTGGTGCTCGGCCTTGCCATTTACCGCACGCCAAAAACATCAACATCCAGGTGGAGTGGAGTGGAGTGGAGTGGCCAAGTGCGGTGGGGCATCGTGGAATGAGCCAGGATGCTTATTTTCTGGTCCGTCAGCCGCCGGTGATGTCGACGTCACCGTCACCACATGTAAAAATGTTACCCCAGCTCCTTTTGTACAGGGTTTTGTTTCTTGTTTCCATTTTGTGTATTCTTTTTTTTTTTTTTTTTTTTTGGGAAGTTGTGTGTGCTGCTGTGATTTCGCGAACTGGCGACTGGCAACTGTGACTGTCCAAAAAAAAAAAAAAAAAAAAAAAAAAAAATGGGAAATAAATGAACAAGGGCAAAGTGCAGGGGGTTGTTGAATAAACCAAGCACATGTTCAAGATGGAATGCTCGAAAATATGTTCGAGAGGGCGAAATCCCGAATCCAGTGACAAACCGAAAAATCTGAAGGTGTGAGGGGGAAGCTGCGTAGCAATTACCGATCCCAAAGGTCTTAAAAAAACATAAAACAGTTTAAGTTTTACTGATAGTATCTGCAGATAGAAGATTTAATAAAAACTAAGTCAATCCACTCACACAATATAAAACATTTCCATATTTTTTTTGTTTTAATATTAATTATATAGAACTATTTTATTTGAATTTTGCATATACTCTTCCAATTTTCGAGTGAAACGGTTAAAAATTCTCAATTCGGCTCATTTTAATATATAATATGTTGTGTAAACTTCCCGCCCCAAAGAAATATGTTATATAGATCTTTTACATGATAATAATGATGACGGATCTATAAATGTTTGCTCTTTCTACTCTGTCAGTCGATCTTTTATGGATTATCCCGATCTCTCAGTAAGTTCAGCCATTGTAAAACCAAATCGTATCTTTTGAATGCTTTGTCTTTGCTTTATTATTTATTTCTTACTTACTTTCAATTTTTTCTCGTTCTCGTTGATTATTTTACAAAACAACAACGGCAAACAGAGGCCAAAACGAATGCCAGACCCAGGGACCCAGGACTATATCCATGTTCCCGGGGTCTGGAGGCGGGGGAAACACGGAACACGGGAAAAAAAAATCGAGGAAACGGGGGAAAGAACAGGAAAATCTCTCGAGGCTACTGAAAACTTCGTTCCTTTTTGCTTTCCCGACTCCGGCTTTTCCGACCCCTTAGATCCTGGTCCTTTACCTTGGGCAGTCGAGTCGCACCGTACACATTTCTTATGCTGCTTCTTGGCTTTGCGCCTTGGCGTCCTCTGGTCCTCTGGTCCCCAGTTGCCCATCGTCCTTTGTCCCATCGTCCTTGTGCTGCGTCCTTTTCACTCCTGCTTTGTCCTGGCGCGCCCTGTCCCTTTTCCACTTACTGCCGACTTTTTTGTCGGCGGCTGCGACGGCGGCAGTGGTTTAAACACATGAAACAATTATAAAGTTGCCAAGAAATGTAAACCCAAAGAGAAAACAATTTAATTGAATTTAACCAGGGGGTTGTCATATCCTAATGGATTTAAAACAACAACAACAATAGCAGGGAGCGGCAGACCGCAACTACAACAACCACTACATCAAATACAAATAAAGCAGGGAACATGAAAAATACAGCCAACGGACTTTGGGGATGGTGACCCACTGGAGAGGAAACCCGAATCGATAGCGGGAAAATAATTAATATTTTATTGTTTGCGGGTAGTCATATAGCCCGACTTTAAGAACGTTCTTGAGAATTGAAACGAACTTGTATTTTATCCGCTTTAAACCCTGAAGAAGCATGCACTTTAGTTGTGTCAACACAGTAGCTTTATGATTAATCGAATGAACAAGAGTTAAAAAGGGAGTTCATTTAAAATCTCAGGAGATATCCTTTGAACTGATAAAGAACTAAATAACCATGATCACATATTATGCAAAAATCGAGCAACCAAGAATAGAGATAAGCCACTTTACAAATATATTGCTGGGCAAGTTATAGGCTC